AATTTTAACAAAATGCACTCACACATGCTTGTCAGTCGTCAGCCATGTAATATAATTAGATAGCAATCAATCATCGGTTACTGACGGCAGCTGTGGCTATCACATCGATGCCGTGTTATTAGACTGGATCAATTACAACCACGGGTGGTCGTTGTTTTAAAAATAAACCTGTTACAACTTGTCCTTACACATTTTTTCCTCACTTCCTCGCTTCGTTCTTCCCCCCCAGTCCTAGCTTTTTAAGTGATTATTTTCCGCCACGATATGAGAAATTTATCGGTAATTGCCTGCTTAAAATTGTCTAAGAGAGAAAATATCCGCTTGTTACATTATTATTGAAACAAATCGGTTCGCAGTATTTCATTCTCCAGCATTATGCACACGGCTTTCTTCCTTCTGCCCCATTTCCCTGGTTAGCTTTGCCCCCTGAAAAAAAAACTYAAATAGCTGTCGTAGCTTTATAAAAGCCGATATCATTTCATCTAGCCCGAGGCTAAACAAAAGGAGCATCGCCCCAGAAAAAAAGTATTRTACGGCTTTTAGTCCCGACCGTCTGCTTTACAATTATGGGATTTCCGATCGGTATTAAATTCCGCTGCCTGCCAATTGATTTAGGCARAAAAGGCCCGCCAGTATTTTCCGTCCGAGTTTCCTCTCTTCATTGTTCCACTTTTATACGCGATTTTTCCGAAGTGCATTTTCTTCTTTGCGATTACAATGCGATTTGTCGGCCCGCTTTATTCCCCTATTATATTACCCAAAACGATTTATGTATCGTCTTGACTATGCGATGGMAACAACCGGAATTGTGCACGTTTAACATTAGGCTTATTGCAAAGTTAGGTGAAATGCATGGTTTTTTTGCCCTTGCACTCCTGAACATTTACAAAGTAGGCACTTGAGGGTGCCATAAGCCCTTTAAAAAAATCCCTGCAAAGCCATTTAGTCCGTTTAAGCATCTCAACTGCAAATAAATCACTATCCAATAAGCCAATATGTAGCTTAACAAATTTACGACTTTCACACCATGACAACTTCAGGCCCGAAAGCTTGAAAATCTATCAGTTTTTACGAAAAAATCTCGAAACAAGCATTAGAGAAAGAGTTTAATGTCGAAGTTGAGCCGCGCCCCCCGAGCACGACACTGTTTCGGACTGAAAAACAATTCTGAATCATTTTTGAGCTGCTTCAGCTCGCAAATTCCCCAAAACCAGTAATTAACAACTAAGTTTTTAGGACGCAATTAAACACACCTTTAACACTTGGAAATACCACGCGAAAGTAGTCGGGCCGACCATTAAGAAACTCGACAGAGCATCTCGGGCTGAAAATTGAGATCGCGTAATAAAATTAACTCTCTGGAAAATGGGCCTATAGAAACTTGAACGAAACGCTGGAAGGATGCATTAGCATGAGATCTGCTGGAGATTTAACATTTTGCAGCAAAAATCGTTTCATTTCCGGCTAGACAACTCCGGGATGTTACATGGCCCGATCCAGAGTAACGAATGCGAGGTGAAACTCGTGGCATGTGCAATGTTTCATCAAAAGGACGTTTTGCACTTCAGGGAAATAAGCTTTTCACCCCGCCTAGAAGTGATTGATAATCCTACACCAAACAAGCTTCTATTTCTAGTAACAAGTTACACTAAATGGACCTCAAAGGCAAGTCCACTGCCGAAGACAACTTTAATTCAGTCGCGCCTAAATAAGGAGCTAATTGGGGCTGCGAGTCCTGAAAATATTGAACGAAGAGCCTTTCAAAATCAAACAACAAGTGAAAATGAGGCTTCATTGTCGTGTCCAATTTCTCAACTTTCTAGAAATGATTCTCATGCACAAGACACAATTTGAACAAATTAAGAGTCCTAGTTGGGTAGTCGAAATTTATCAGTTCCAGCTTGTTCATGAGGCTTTAGTGAGCCAATTTCCAAAACCTAATTTCAGTACACCAGACACTGCCATCTTTGCCTTTCTTGATTGAGCGCCGGAAAATGGGGCTATTGGGATCTCGGCGAATCCATTTATGTGGGGTTTAAGTTGCGCTTAAATAAAGCCACCCCCTTAATAGGCGGGATTCATTTTTTTAAATTGATCATAGCGAATTTTCGCGTGAAAATGCGAACAAGTTATACGGAATTATTTGCTTTTAGTCAAATTTTTATGCAGAGCATTTCAATTGAAATCACTGATGAAATTTGACTGTTAACCTACTCGAATATTGAACGTGCAAATGTGGTTTAAATGTAGGCTCTTTGATAGTTTTTAATATTCATGTCGATTTTGTGCGTTATCAACAGAGTGGTCCAGTTTTAGCTGTAAGGATCTGTTGGATTTTTTCAGGTTTTTCTAGAGTTTCAACAGATTTTGCAGGTATAAAGTTTATGTCGAAAATTTGCAAACCATCAACTTTTTCAGGGATTCAATTCCCCTTATAATAGTAATTTATATAAATATAAAATATTTTCTATTGCAGTTGATTGAACTTTTGCAAACTACATTCGTCGAAAGTCACCAGCCTAGTCCTTTGCTCGGCTTCATCTAATTTACAAAGTATTGCTTCGTTTCTAAAACTTTTTCTGTTGTACTATTTGCTGAAACGTATATTTTTTTAAAAGCTTTACTTAAATGTTTCCCACAAAGTCGGGAGAAAACACTGGAAACTCTATCGTCTACCATCGATTTCAATGCGGATATTTAGCACCAATAAATACACCATGTAGTCGGTCTGCCGGACGCAAAGATCAATTTGTATCACCTAAATTAAGGTCTGCAATATCGCTTGTCCAGTTCAGCTACGGCATTATTAGCACCGATTCGCAGTAATTCCATTCGGGTTCAGCCGTTTCACTTATTCGCAAATATAGTTGCACACACACTTTAATACACACTCGCAGATATTTTGCAATACTTGTCTGAATCACTTGCAACAAGGCAAAGAAAATTATGGAATTGAACTTTCAGCTGATTATATAGGCGGTCGCCTAACGTTTCGCTAGCACAAACGATTGGCACCCACAGGCGTGTTTGCTTTCAGCGGGATGAATGGTTGAATTCAAGAACGTAGATGACATCGGCTATCCAACTCGTACACATAGAAGTGTATGAGAGATAAAAATTGACCTGTGCGTTGCTGCGTTCCAACTTACTACCTTGAGCGCTTAAAAGTTGCCAGTTTTGGTCTCAAGCCGTTACTAGACTAAAGTCAAGCGCCCGTAAATAGTGGCTTTCGAACCGAAATAGAAATAATTGCCCAAATTCCTATCAAGCCTGAAACATTCCATACTAATTGCGACTTTGTAGTTTTAACGCCCAAGTTCGGGACATAAAATCGGCGGGTTTTCAATTGCATTTTTCCGGTATTTACTTTGGAATTCTTATTGCTAAGTGAAAATATTGAAAGCTAAAAGAGCAAAGTCAACAGTCTGATCATTTTCTGTCCACAAGCTGTGCTGAAACAATAAACGTAGCAGATAGCAAATATTTAAATAGACTGTGATCAAAGCAGGAAAAATGCCTGAATTTTGACTCACACATGGCTCGAAAAAAATTGCGTTTTGTTTACGCGTCCAGTTAAAAAAATTATAAACGCAGTTTCCATTAGTTCAATAAAAGCATTATTTCGCTTCAATTTGCACACATTATATAATTGACGATTCTTTTCAAACAACAATCTATTAGGACACAGTATTGCTCAATTCTAGGTGCAAATTGTGCACCTCAAAGCAACCGCAACCGTTAATGAATTTTCTATATGCAAGTCGAATATCTACTCAATCATTGAACCTCTCCAATAAACTTCATTGTATCCGATGCACTACTGGGTTTGCACTAATATTATTTATTACTGTCTCGGTTTACGTGTTAACGGCGTTTAATTAATAATGCAATGCCCACAATTCATGTTAGCAAACGTCTAATTGAATTAGGCAATATTACAGAATCTCCTCAATTTATGGCCGTGGCCCGAGCCATGATCCTAACTAACTAAAGATATACAGGATGATGCTAAATATCGTTCCTCTAAAAGCGGTTTTTATACAGAAAAAAATTAGTTCTTTAATTTCCTGTTGATTTGCCTTTTCCTAGTTTAGAAGATATAACTGTAAAGAAAGGCTGTATTTATGCAAAAAACGATCTTCATACCCGCAATTACAAAATTCTCAAAAAATCAGGATTTACTGTGATTATGAAGAGAATTTCTGCACTTTAAGCATCGAGTGCCGGCTGTAGGATGGGAAAGATATGAATCGAAGTTTTGGCGTGTATTTTGTATTTGAGTGCCACAGCGAGGAAAGACTGTAGGAAAACCTATGTCAATAAAAGAAGGTCAATTTCAAGTTATTCACATTAATTATTTTAATTCAACTTTGACAGCATTTCCCTTTTGTTCGAAATCAATCAATATTCTTCGGTCTACTTCGTAATTTTTTCCGCACTTTCCAAAATGAACCCCATTTATTTATGTCGATTCCGCCGATAGCGCGATGAACTAACATAAACCAGTCTTTCACTCCCGCACGTAATTATCTTTATTAAGCGTTGATCGCGGCGAAATGCAACTATAATGGCTGATCGATCCGAACTGCTCAAGTTAATAAATTAATCAACACATCTATCTCTCGTTTCGCACACACATATAAACAATTTGAAAACATGTTAATGTCAGCACGTCACCGTTAACACACATTATTTTAGGTTTGCCAATTTTCGCCCGCCAGTTGAATGCTTCCTATTGGGCTTTCAGCTCAGTACAACAACACAGAAATATGTCATGGAAAATGCACAACTTGAGTCGCAAATACAGCACGTACATTCACAAAATGAGAGTGAGTTTTGGAGCTTGAAAATTGCCCAATGCAAAAATAATAATTCTGAATACTGAATTTTGCTAATTATCCAGTCCATATTCGTGGAACACCCTGTACAGTGCAAGTAATTTAAAAAAACATAATTCAACTTAAACGTATTGTGACTTGGTTAAAAGGAAATTTGCTTACTTGGAAGTGGCTTTGACTTTCTGAGCCACTGCTGTTAGCTTGTTGAGTTCAAGAATATCCATCCATGTGACTTGAAAATCTGTAAAAAAGTTATCAACTAAATTAGATTGTAGATACCAAACGGAAAAATCATAAAACACGTAATAATATGTCAGGTATGTGAATAAGTGGGGCACTGAATGAAGACTGCAAAAAAATCGAGGGAAAAGCTAGAAGCACGGACGAGAAAAATTCACTTGGAAAAGCGGCAGGGAAATTGAAAAAATGTTGAAGAATGAAGAACGACTAAGTAAAGAGTGGATAACACATGAAAACTGTAACAAAATATTTCATAGAAAGACCAGAGAAGCCAAATATAAAAATGAATGAAATTCGAGTAGTTTTAACCCAGAACGCGAAATTTGAATATTAGGTGCAAGATTATACCAAAATTTTATGTTTTTGCTCATTTCTCGGAAGAAAAATGAGCAAGAATTTGCAAGAATTTGCAAGAATGAGCGAAATTTGAATATCAGACACTTAGGTGCAAGATTATGCCAAAATTTAGTGTTTTCTTTTCTTCTTTTTGAGTTGTAAAATCGACTCAAACATGACGCTGCTTTTGTCGAAGTTTCTCAAGAACCATTTCGTTTTGGCACCGTTGGATAGAGAATTAAACATGCGCTTCAGACATAACAACGTGAGTGAGAAAATTCGAATAAAAGCAAAATAAAAGAAATGAATGAATGAAATTTGAGTAGTTTTAACCCACAAAGCGAATGCAAGATTATGCCAAAATTTAATGTTTTCCGTCCCGTTCTTGTGCATTTCTCGGAAGCAAAAGGAGCAAGAACGCTCCTTTTCACATCATTCCAGACAGAACTAAATGGCCTTTTCAGGAAGTGACCCATCGATAAATAAATTTTGGTAGATTTCCCAAAAAAGTCCTGATTTCAAGAAGTTTCAGATTTGCGTGTTTTCTTTTTGAGTTGTAAAATCGACTCAAACATGACACTGCTTTTTTCGAAGTGTCTCAAGAACCATTTGAGCCACAGAATTCGTTTTGGCACCGTTGGATAGAGAATTGAACATGCGCTTCAGGCATAACGACATGAGTGAATATAGTTTCGACCCAGAAAGCGAAAGTTGAATATTAAACACTTAAGAAAAGTTAGAGTTTTCCGTCCCGTTCTTGCGCATTTCTCGGAAGCAAAATGAGCAAGAACGCTCCTTTTTACATCATTCAATTAGGTTAATTCAATTAAATTAATTTCAAATAAGTGAAAATTTGCTAAATTTATAATGTTTCCTACCGCAAAAGCAGTGACGTGCCGAAGTGCTCAGCACAACGTCAACATTAAACACAAGAAAAATTGCATTAAATCAAAATCCTGCAACGGTGTAGTATTAAAGACATCAACAAACTTGTGCTTCTTTCTTTGCCTTGTCAACCAAAAACAGCAGTTCCCATGCAAGTAAATAGGATTGAAGCAGCCATAAAGTCGTTGAGATAATTGAGGATCAAAACGTTCCGGATGGCACATCGGCCAGAATACAAACAAACTTTCCGAAGCTTTCCGATAAAGAACCAATCCGAATTCCCTCTACTATCCGATAATATTCATTAGTTAACATTCGCGGGCCTTATGTTACGTCGACAATAAATCCAACTTGGCTCATCCCCGAGATTGTGGAGTTTTTACTGACGAACCATGCGGGTCCATTCCCACCATCATAATTGTTTTATGCAGAACGGGAACTTCAAGTTTGCACAAAGAGAGGGACCGAGGCGCAGCACTAAAAGAACTGCACTTAATATATTTCATCCGATAAACACCATCAAAGTTGGAAGCAAAATCGAGAAAAGCGTGGAAATACAACATTTAAATGAGCTTTTCAGAAACAGACATTTGTCAAATGGCTTGCGTTAAGTTTTTTGCAGTTGTGGTGGTTTTGTTGAATGGAAATGAGATTGCTCGGTTATTACGGTTGTCCGAAGCAGTTTTAATAATACCCCCGATGTTTTTATTTCCTTTTCCGTCGCTTGGAATGAACGTATAGATTGATGTGGATTGAACTGAAATGATTCAACCCAAAGTGCAATTTTTATGCCAGCGAATACAGTACTTTAAAGGATTTTATTAATCAACTTCCATCGCGGTTGTTAAAGAAAAGCGAACAGATTCCACAATTCCACCGTCTTGAACAATGGTACATCAAAGACATAGGCGCCTATACAAAAACAATATATCCATCTTTATTTAGGTGGAAGACAAAGGAGAGGACTTGCTTCCATTCAGCCAGCGAGCTTTTAAGCGCCGAAAACTTCATTAATGGCTCATAATAAGAGCGCAATTTTTCATCTTTTGTGATGCGATCTTCACGATTATCATCGCTAAAGGCCAGAAACAAAATCCATAAAACTTATTACCAAGAGGCATTAAGCTAATAAGTCTCACGCACTTTGCCCCGCTTGTAATGTTGGTATTAACTGTGAAATATGACCGCCTTTTCAGTTATAAAATGTTGTGGGTTTCATTGCGGGACGAGATTGATGCGACCCTACCAAGGAATTTGAGGTCTATGGAACGACTTTGTTATTGCGGATTTTTAATTGAAATAAATTGGCCGGCTTCTATTAACTTTTGTTGCTTTTAGAGCCGAGCAACCTGCTGGTTGTCAGCAAAACGATATTGCAACGATGGGAGAATAGAAGCTGAGTTTAAATTACCAGCGTTTCTTTGCAGACGATGTAAAGACAAGGAGAGCTGCTGCAATTCTGCCATTGACCTATTTATTTTGCTGCCCTTGTTCATCTCAGATATTTAATTTTTCACTTTCGCCACTTTTTCTTAGCCTGTTCCTTCTCTTGTGTTTGCTGCAACTTGCTGTTGTGTTGTAACACTTTCGGTCCTTTGAGGTTTTCCAATGAACGGACAATTGAACAAATTTCTTCTTTCAGGCTGAGACCCGCGAGCGTATTCGGCAGCAATTGATTCCCACTTTTCGAAGCTTGCCAATGCCAAAGAATCTTCACTAAGCAAATTAAATTTCTGGCTGTTTTTTGTAGAACAACCCAAGCAATGTATCTCATAATTCCCGAACAGAAAGCCCGTTGATGGCACAAATAAACCCATTAAATCCTTTCAGAAAGTTTAAATTGTTGCGAGTAAAACATTAAGCTAATGAGACTCACGCACTTTACTGCCGTAATTCCACTGTGCAAATAGAAATTATTAAACCGATTTGAAACATAAAACCGTGTTGAAGTAAGATAGATGCGAGCTTAACACTTGTATAATAACAGTGTTAGTAGAAGGCGGCAGCGAAAACAATAAACAATAGGTTGAGTCCTGACTTTTGCGCTAGGACCGGAATCCGCACAAAAGCAACTGTTTTGGAGCGGGATTCTTGAGGAATGCGATGGGGGATTCTAGTCGTTTAAATAGGAGCAAAATGGGCTTTGCACCAAAGAAAGTTGTGAAGCTGCTGTTTAGGGTTGAGCATCGGAGGGCAATGCGGTTCAACGTGGGATTTGCCATTCATATGCAAATAGATGGCGGGTTTAATTGAGAAATCTCGCAGTTTTCCACACTCGAAAGTTAACGATTGGAAAGAAAAGCAAAGTGAATAACAGGAAAACTGCACAACCGATACGTTGGCCGCCCGCAGAAAACCATTACAGTCTGATCCTAACGATTGTTTCTTTTCAAACTTGGTAAAATCGCCTGGAGAACAAAAGTGACCTTCTATACAAAATACGAGTTTTCTGTCCAAATTTTGAAAAAATTCCTTTTGAGAATGGCAGCCACAAAAGTTTGAAACCCTCAAATGCTGGATTTTCTAACTATAATCCCACGCAATAGTTCAGTCCTCTAATTTGAAATTGTCCTCCTTTTTATTGCCATTTACAAATTCCATTGCTTCTTCTCTTCACTTTCTTGAACGCCTTTTCCACAATTAATGCGCATCATTTTTTAATTGACCATTGCTTAAACATCAATGGAGGTTTCTTCTGTGAAGTATTAATCAGCACTTTCTTCAGTAATGGGATGTTAGTCAAAATGAGGAGTGGTAGACGCAAATGAAAAACTAATCTAAAGCGATATAGAAACAATAACAGATAACAGCTTTCGAACAAAGTTGAGGCTCGGAAGTTGCATATGTATTCGCTAACAAAGGGAGTTCAAGCAACGCAGTTTGAGAAACTCGAAGTGCATCGGGGATGAATCGATGTTGGGAAATTGGAAGTCGGTGTTCAAGACCGGCGTGATTTCGCGTGCGGTTCAGCTGAGTGCCTTTGAGGGCGTACGCGAACAAACCGCGGATTCAATGGAATATTATGCCTTTATGATCGTTATATCCAGCTCGCTGGATCCACACTCTAATGAAGCTGAAAATATCTTACGTTTTACTAATAGCTTCACTGTACATGTTGCGGAAACTGCGCGCTTTGTGAAATATACAAAACTTTCCAAATTGATTAACTATTTTCCATATGCGGATTCAATCGAGTTCAACAGTTTGCCTGGACGAAAAAAGCACCTTTTCTCAGCGCAAGAAGGTTAGTTACAAATAATTGGGTTGTTCAAGATCATTATCTGATACAAGAGTCACGAAATTAACGTCCTGGACTTTCATTAATAACCCTAAAGGGTGTTTGGGTTAATCAATCTGTGCTTCTATTTGTATTGAATTAATGGATCTGGGCAAATGTTAAACAAGCCGAATATTTGCGCTGTTAAACTCATTTAGATAAACCGTCGTTTTTCGCTTGGTCGCCTAAAGTCGCCCTCTGTACTCTATATGTATGGCGCCAAATGGAGAACCCTGATATTTTTTGTTTACAACTTTACAACCTCTGCAGCGGAGCGAAAAAAATTACGTACATAAGGAGGGAAAGTTTTGCGAAGCTTAACAAATTATTTGGCAAACAAAGAACTTTCCAGAGGCAATTTCGGGAATCCTCTGAAACTGTTTAGAAAAAGAAGTGCTCCTACACCATGGACGTTTGGAATTATTGTTGGACTTTGCATTGCTTTTAGGCAAATTTTCATTAAAAACTGCTAGGGTAAACAGAGACTCAGGCATTTCAAGGTGTTTTAAACTTATTGATAGTATCTGGAAATTAACGTATATACGGACCTGTTGGTAATGGATTTTCCTTCTCCTGGAACATGTCCATAGCGGCTGGGCACTGCCTTTCAGTTCTAAGCACCGATTTCTGGAAATAGTATAACTCGATGTCATAAAGGCCAACTGATTTCATCTAATTAAATTACGGTACAAAATATCCGGGTGAATTTTGCGGAAATATCTGATAAGAAAAAGAAACAACTTGTGAAGAAAGTGCCGACAAAAAACAAATAAACACCCCCTTGAAATGGACTTCCTCTTACAGAACCAGCACTTCGATATTACCACGTTCTTCATAAAACGTAAACACCAAAAATTGACCTGGACATCTGCGGGTGGAAACATCAAAAATGAAATAGAGTTTACTATACCTAACACACAGAACAGATATGCAGGGTGTCCCGTAAGCACACGATCAAAAGGATCCTGCGATATTTTTTCGATCAAAAGAAGACCATCTCACCTAACGTTTACTCAGAAAAAATGTCTGGCTCTTCTACTATTAAAGGTCAGAGCTCTTCAATAACATATTTTAATTAAACTCGCTGTGGATGTCTGGTACAAAAACTATCAGAACTGTTTCTTTGGTAGCTAGAATCACCAGATTGTTTTCAGTTGATGCTCTAATCCTCTTTTAACTGTTTTGTCCTCTTTCTAAAATTCTGTAGCATTCATAGTTTTTCCACAAGCATCGATGACCTCGACCAAGTCACATTCAACCAAAAAGAAGCTCAATATATGCTATCATCGATACCAAAAGCTTCTGGAGAACTTGCGCTAAAGGCTAACTAACACATCTAAAGCCAAAGCTTTGACCAATTTGGTGCCATCAACACCTTTTCAGGTAGAATGAGTGGATATGGAACAAGTGGCCAGCTATAAACATCTTGAACCTGAAGTACGCTTCATTTTTAGGGAAGCCAACAAATTAAAAAAAAAACAGTCCAGATAGTAATCAGAAGTGATAAGCACAGAGAACAAATTAGGTAAACTTGTAGGACGAAAACTATTTCTCGCGATAGCTTTCCGGACCATTGTCTCCCGCCGAAAATTCCATTTCAAATTGATGGAAAACACCATTTCAACAGGGCCGTTTTGAGCGACGTAATCAAATCTGAGCTGCCTTCGTCAAGTTTCTAGACGACAGTCGAGCGAATCGCTTTTACAGGAATAATTAAATTGTATGGCGACTAAGGGACTTTATTTTGTTACCAGGCTATATACGGAGAGGCGAGAAGGTGTTAATTTCAGCTTGGCCGTTTGAGCTTGCAAGTCAATTTACAAGAAAATTGAACGGATAATTAGGGTGTTGAAAAGGGGCCACTTCGACATTGAACACCTTTCAACTGCGGTCGGAAAAATCCTGCATTTGAACTTGGAGGAAATTAATTGGCTTTCACTGTGGTACTGGCGTGCTGTAGCCGATATATCAGCGCTTGAATATGCAATTTAGCTTTATAGTTATTGATTAAGGCTGCGCTCCATCTAAACTTCACCCTTTTTCTTCAGAAACCTTATCAGTAGACAGCCAGCGAATAAACAAGGGTAAATAATGTCGGACAAGATAGGATATCTTTACGGTCTAAGCATTGGCCTATGTTTTGTAGAACTTCCTTAGGGTTGGTTTTACACGCAATGATGTGCATATAAATGAGCCGCTTTTTACTAATGCAAAAATCGATTTTCCTTTTCCCTACCGCGACTAAATGCATCTCGGCTCGACTTTATTCGAACATTACATAACATGTACGATAAGCATTCCATCACCGCGATAGCCTCAAAATAGACTGAATTCTACCGGGGGTAATAATTAAAAATCTAATAGGAATTTTATATTGCATTTTTGGGCTCGCATAAATTAAAGATACGCCCATAATGCAACATGGAAATTAATTTTAACTGGTTGATCTGTTCGGGACAATGCAGCCCGATATTACATGGAAAACACATGCTGTTTGTTTGGGATGTGATTAAAATATTAAATAGCTTGGCGTTTATGTGCATACATTTTTTTAATGTTTACTGATCAATTAACCAAATTGATTTTGTTGTTATTCATTTTTTATTTAGATTATATTTGGGATGGAGACGCTTTGCCTCAAGCGAAAAGTTTTTTTACTAAAAAACATAGTTTCTTAGTAAAATTAACTGTTAAAGTAGCAAAATTATGTCGTGTCCTGGACATAAAAATGCAAATATTTTCCATAAAAACAAATTTTGGCAATTTCCTTTAAGTATTCGGGGGTGATTTTGCGCTAATGAATGGGGGACCATATATCAGCAAAACCAACTGTCGTTTATGTATGGAAGCCCGAATAAGACACATACACACACACTGTGGGGTTTGTTCGATTTTATTCAATGACGCCGATACTAAATCAAACACCCCATTCATCATAACGACCCCGTATTAGTTTGCAATTTCCATCTGGCCAACATCCAACAGGAGGGACACAGGCATGTTTAGTTAATGCCTTGCAACATACTAGGAATTGTAAATTTTCCGAATATCTGACTGTTATTGACCTGCAATTTGCTCCGGATGATAATAATATATCTCACTGGGAATTTGCCAAAGAGATACTAGGCTTTTGAAGAGTTATTTTATCTGTTATCCAAAAGACTCGTATTAGTTCCAATGAATAGATCATCAAAGGAAATCATGGTGTTTGCAAATTACGCACTTTAGTTTGTTGGCAAACCCCAAGACTTTAAGGAACAAGTACTTTTTGAAGTAAAAACGTCTTATCACGGTGTGAATGGCCTGGAATGCGTAACGGCGTCGTTGTCTGGCATAGGTAAAGTCAAGTAGGCCGGTCGTCGATTATAATAGTGTGTAGACTGTGGTCCGTTCGTGTCAATATCAGCGTGTAGTCCGTGGGCCGGTGTCCTTTGGATGCGTTTTCGTCCGAACTGCTTTCGTCAGAAATCGTGCGAAAAGGAGCTAATGATCCAATTTCATTGTAACGTATAGAAACTCGTCCACTAGATCCGAAATCATTCAAAAATAGATAATTATGTCGAAATTACTAACGCAACTCACCAATCAACTGCACCTATTGAAGACTGTTAAATGTTGTAAATATAATATAATTTTTTCAATCAAAAAGAAATTAAATTAAATTTGACCTATTGCTGATGCATTTATAAATTATTAGACTTTAACTTTTTTTCAAAAGCTGAATTCCTTCTCAATCTTGTCTCACTTAAACAGGATGAGGATGAGAGCCTGGCATTATTTTTTCAACGATAACACTAGCACTGGAAAATATGACGATATTGAAGGCCGATTTTCGAATAAAAATTCGTTTTTAGAGTAGCGTAAAACGGCAAAACGCAATTTAGAAAAATGCCCTTTTAATGCTGGTATTAAAAATTCCATTTTCATTTTTAAATACCAACCACTGTGGGCAGCTTTGCGAGTTGCGGCAGTGCCAAATGCATGCCAATACGGAAAATGAAGGCATCCAAGCAAGAACTTTTGTTATCAAATAAAATCACTGTTGTTGCTCGCCAAATGAATGATTCCATTATGTTTGATTCTATTGTATGTGTGTACACCAGCATTGTGTAAAAATGGGATAATATATTTAATTCAACATTGCCAACCATTGCGAATTATATTTTATGGAAAGCTGGAAAACCGACGTTAGTTTGAATACGGAGAAGTCACTTCATGGACTTTTGAAACATCAAACTTTATAAAGTATGTTTACTGCAATAATTGTTAAACCTCTTGTATAAATTGTTTTTGCTCTATTACATAAACTGTTTACAATGCATTTTTACTGTGCCTCTATTCCATAAACATGCGACAATTCTGGAAAAGTGAAAAGAACAACTTTTTCCTAAAATAATTAATATACGAAATATGTTGAATACAGCGGCAACCACCCTGTGATTATGATAAATTTTGTTGAAAACACTTCAAAACTGGACATTATCTGTCAAATACAGAACGTGCAAGTGAGCAATTAAAATAGAAATTCTGTTGGCAAAAATCGAATTTTAAAATTCACCAAAATCGCATTCTATTTTATGGATATTTTAATTCAATTGTAACCAAATTGACATTTTTCCAAGTGCTAAATGTTCGCCATTCTTGTCATTTTAAATGCCCGTTCCTAATTTATTGCGGTGGATTTGCAGCCATTTATTCCCCACACATTCCACTGAAAAATCGCTAAATTATTCCCGGTGATATACATTGTGCGAAGGGAAAATGAACTAGTAAAAGTGCATATTTCACTTTTAATTTATGCTTTTAGCCTATAAATTGCTATATAAAGTGCGTTAATTTTATATCGATGCAAATTTCACTGCGTGTGTTTTAAACAGGTAACATGTTTATGTAGTTTAATCAGGTATCGCTGTCTGATATCCAGATATTCTAAACATTTTATACAAACTAGCTAGTAGCTTTTGTACGTCATAATACTACCAAAACAGCACGCTTTTCACATAATCATATTTGAAAAATGGGGACACAGTCCAAATAAGAGCCGCCTGACTAGATTCAGGAAAGTATAAATTTACCGATTTAGCCTCCAACTTTAATCGGCTAATAATTTACTTCGAGCTCTTTACCAAGAAACCTTTGAACCTAATCCAATCGATACAGTGCATTGAAGTGAAATATCGATGCAATTAAACTACGCGTACTTTGAAAATATCAAAGACCTTTTCGAAATAAATGACCGAATTAAATTAAGTTCGTTTCTTGGCACGTGAGGGAAAAACTTTTTTTCGATGTCTGAACCTAATGGTGTACATTATTTATGTTTTGTTTTCTGTTGTGGGACGTGCGACATTATACGCGGGGACCTTTAACTTTCAATGCTTTTAGAGGGTATTTCATAGGTACGAAATAGCAAGAAAAAAACTGAAAAAATTTGCCATATTTGTTGCAAGTCATTTGAATTTAAAACCAGAAAGAATCCGACATGAAACACAAAAATTGATGCATAATTTATGAAGTCCTGGGACTTATTTTTTGCTGCTCTACATAAAAGTTACAATTTCCGTATTGCGAGAAAATAAAATGACGCATTTACAACTAATTACCATATGACCTCATTAGTATTCAGA